ACTGACCATCACTTGAATAGTAAATGTTTTCATCGATTCTAGTTCACTTCTTTTCTTTCCAGTTTTCACCGGAACTAAAATAATAATAATCATAATCGATCATTCGTAAACAAAATGTGCAAGAATAAAAAATACAGCCATCATCATCATCATTATTATATCGTTGAACAATTTCGTATAGAAGAACCGAAAAATATAATCTTGTAATATGAATAAAGAAGAAAAAAGATGCCGGTATTTTCTAATGATGCACTACTATACAATTTATTCTTCTCTCATCCGTCTTAAACACCGCATCGATAATAATAGTGACACCAACCTATTCTTAATGTGTGTTCTTTTTTTCTTAATCAAAATACATAAGTAAAAAGACGTTATTTCATTTAAAATATATTTTTCTTTCTTTTTTCACATAAATTTCTTTTACGTTACAATGAAAACACACTATGAACTTCTTCTTTTTTTAAAATAATAGTCTTCTAGTTTTTTTTGTTCTTTTTCTATGTTTTCAAAAGTGTTCTTTGTTGTTTTTTAACTAAACATTTTGATGGTGAATTTATGATTTACGTAAAAATTCTTTAACACCCGCATAAGTTTCTTCTCCCACAGGTACAATGAATGTTGTTGGTAGAATAAATGCATACTGTGAATCTTTTCCGTTCTCTGATGGACGTAATTCAACTGTATAGACATATTTTATTTTTCCACGCCCTTTAGCCCAGTCATCGCTACCACCTGCGGATTCATCTACAATTGAAATAAATATACAAAAAGTGAAGCAGATTTTGAAGAAAGTATCTAATATAACAATACATACACAATAGAATTCCAGCCGAACCAATTTTGTACTGGGTACCACTCACTTTTCTGAGCGCTTCTGAGCCAATTCTTGCTTTTATCCTCTAAACAAAATAGATATTTTGAAAAATCATCAAAATTAAGTTTATATTGAACACTAAAAGCGTACTGCATATCAGTCATAGAAAAAAATTTGTTTAAAATATCAAAATATATCGAAAAAACGAATAAAAGATATTTATAAATTTGACTATTATCTATTTAAAAATAGAATACCATCGGTTGTTTTTTGAATAACTTTCGAGCGAATAGAGCTAGAGAGTTCGGGTTTTCACTTTTTTGTAGAAAAATCTTGGCTCTATGATCTATGGGAGCTTGACAACCTCGAATTTCCAGGTGGTGTACCTGACATGCGGAAAAAGAAGGGGTTGCCAGGTACCGAAGATAAAGTAATTTATTCACTCAAAGTACATGGTTGAATAGTTCAA